ATATGATATGATTGGAGGATCTACAGTGTATGCTGAATATTTCTACCGACTGTAATTTGTGAAGCTACTTTAAGATCATGAAATGCATTGTTTTTCAATAGGCTCCATCCTTGACACAGAATGACAGAGAAGCAGCTGTGAGTACCTGTAACTTATGGAAAATAGTTTATGAAACTGTCATTTTGAGAGAGAAAGCAGCAATGATTGTACAATTCTAGAGCTTCATTCCTCAGAATCCAGTGAACATTGCCCTTTTTACGCTGAAGTGGAGCTTTGAAGTTTCCACTCAAGGCTTTTTACACGTAACAAAGTGTTGTTTATTCATGTTTATATCTCTTATCCTTTAGGGATCACCCTCTTCAAAGAAAAAGAAACTTACTGTAAGTTATTGATTCCTGTAACAGAACAGTAAATCAATTGACTGGTTAGTTTGGTCTTGCTATGGGAATGTTTGTTGAACTATGCCTCACCAAAATACAAACAATAGCTGAACCAAACTAGCCAAAGTGTACTAAAGAGGTTTGATCAAGTAACAAATTGTCAAACTGTCTGCTCTCACAAGTTGATGCATCACAAAAAATTATAAATTCACGTGTCTGTCTGCTTATTGACGATGAAAATTAGGCAATGAGCGCACAAGAATTTCTGTAGTTCATTGTAAAAATTAAATTTATCATGCCAATGTTTTCAGATACTAAGGGAGGAACAAAAGAAAAACCAGGGTCTGCTGACATCATATTTTGTATATGATAAATGTGTTACCATATTATGATATGATTTGAATATTGGAGGATCTACAGTGTATGCTGAATATCTCTACCAACTGTAATAGACCTCTCTAGCTTGGGTGGTTTGTTTTCCAAGTGCAGACCACGCGATGATACTCTTGAGAAATCTAGCTTTCAAATTTTTAAATAGTCACATGTGTAGGAATGAATAATTTTAAGACGGACAAAAGAAAAATTACCTAGAGAATATCACGTGCTCTACAATGGGAAAACAAACCACCCAAGCTAAAGAGGTCTATTGTGAAGCTACTTTTAGATCATGAAATGCATTGTTTTTCAATAGGCTCCATCCTTGACGCAGAATCACAGAGAAGCAGCTGTGAGTACCCGTAACTTATGGAAAATAGTTTATGAAACTGTCATTTTGAGAGAGAAACCAGCAATGATTGTACAATTCTAGAGCTTCATTCCAAACAATCCAGTTAACATTGCCCTTGTTACGCTGAGGTGGAGCTTTGAAGTTTCCACTCAAGGCTTTTTACACGTAACAAAATGTTGTTTATTCATTTTTATATCTCTCATCCTTTAGGGATCACCCTCGTCAAAGAAAAAGAAACTTGCTGTAAGTAACTGATTCATATAACAAAACCGTAAATCAATTTACTGCTTAGTTTGATCCTGGTATGGTAGGTTTCCCCTCGAGGCTTTTTACACATAACATAATGTTGTTTATTTATGTTTATACATGTATCTTTTATCTTTTAGGGATCACTCTCTTCAAAGAAAAAGAAACTTGCTGTAAGTTACTGATTCATATAACAAAACATGAAATCAATTTACTGGTTAGTTTGGTCCTGCTATGGGAATTTTTGTTCAACTATGTGTCACCAAAATACAAACAGTAGCTCAACCAAACTAGGCAAAGTGTACTAAAAAGGTTTGATTAAGTAACAAATTGTCAAACTGTCTGCTCTCGCTAGTTGACACATCACAAAAATTATAAATTCATGTGTCTGTCTGCTTATTGACAATGAAAATTAGCCAATTGCACACAAGAATTTCTGTCTACTTAGTTTATTGTTAAAATTAAATTTATCGTGTCAATGTTTTCAGACAGTAAGGGAGAAACAAAAGAAAAACCAGGGTCTGCTGACATCTCTTAATATATGATATGTGTTACCATATATGATATGATTGGAGGATCTACAGTGTATGCTGAATATTTCTACCGACTGTAATTTGTGAAGCTACTTTAAGATCATGAAATGCATTGTTTTTCAATAGGCTCCATCCTTGACACAGAATGACAGAGAAGCAGCTGTGAGTACCTGTAACTTATGGAAAATAGTTTATGAAACTGTCATTTTGAGAGAGAAAGCAGCAATGATTGTACAATTCTAGAGCTTCATTCCTCAGAATCCAGTGAACATTGCCCTATTTACACTGAAGTGGAGCTTTGAAGTTTCCACTCAAGGCTTTTTACACATAACAAAATGTTGTTTATTTATGTTGATATCTCTTATCCTTTAGGGATCACCCTCTTCAAAGAAAAAGAAACTTGCTGTAAGTTACTGATTCATATAAAAAAACAGTAAATCAATTGACTGGTTAGATTGGTCTTACTATGGGAATGTTTGTTGAACTATGTGCTTTGTCTCCCCAAAATACCAACAATAGCTCAACCAAAATAGCCAAAGTGTACTACTGTAGAAAGTTTTGCTTAGTCCAGTTCTTCATTAACATATAGCTCTGTGGAAATATTTTGACATGGAAATATGAAAACTGTGAACTATAAATAACGAAAGAAACACTATTGATGTCACGACTATATATAGCTGAACCTACTCGGGTAACAAAACCAAAACAGGTTTTTGAACTTATCAATTTTAACTGCATATCAAGGTTTGTATTCTGATCAGTGTTGATCATTCACATGGTCAATTGTAGTTAGAATGGTGTAATAGTGAGGAACCTAAATAATGTGTTTAGAACATATTATTTGGTGATACCCAGTATGTAAACCAATACTAAACTTATACGCCTATCCCCTGCGAAATAAATTCCCAGTAGTCTGGGAATTCCTAGGAATTCCTAGGAATTCCTAGGAATTCCAAGTTATTCCAAGACATGCAAATTATGC